AAATCGCAAGGAGGTCTCAGCGCGGGAGCGAATTTCTTGAGTAACTTGCGAAGAAGTCTCAAGAGGGAGCGGGGGACCAAAATCCATTTCGATGACTATCAAGCGGGAACCGCTGTTGTTGTAAACTGGGGGCCAGGGGCACAGTCTGAGGAGACATATTTTCCCTGACAAGAAGAAGAGTGCGAGCGCCGGGAGGGGCACTTCAATTGAAAAATACAATGTGCACCTGAATGGGGGGGTCAACAATATTTATTTTCCAGTAGTGAGATTTCAACAATAACAACAACAAGAGCACCAGCACCAGCAGCAGCATCACAAACACCAACAACGATAACGACAACGACAACGATATCGGCAACGACAGGGACAACAACAACGACAACAACAACACCACACAACAACACCAACAACAACAACAACAACAACAACCAACAATCATCTGCTCGCCCCAAGTTTTTGTCGATGCGACGACCCCCCCTCCACAGGAGCCAACGCATGATTGGGTCCAACGCCACGGTGAAAAGACACATGCTGGTCGGGCCCCCAACCCCTCCCCCGACCGATATCCTCGATAACTGCTGCCCTACAATTGCAATCGTCGCAGTGTTCGCAGTGCACAATGCAGCAAAGAAACAGATAATGGGCGCTGGGATGCCCATCGGACTCAGCACGATCAAGAAAACAATCCTGGCGAAGGACCCAACCATATGCAATTGTGAATACCGCAATTGTGAATATCTTCTTCGGTGGCGCTCCCTATGGGTCCACGAAAGTGTGACGGGTGTGGCGAAATGGGTGTGCGGGACGCGCGCGGGCATACCCACTGGGACCTTCGATGGAGCTCCTTCTGGGGCCACGAAACGTGTGAAGGGTGTGCCGAAATGGGTGTGCGGGACGCATGCGGGCACACCCGCTGGGACCTTCGGTGGAGCCCCCTTTACGGGGCTACGAAGCGTGCGAAGGGTATGCCAAAATGGGTGTGCGCGACGCATGCGGGCGGCAGCACTGGGGCCTTCGGTGGAGCCCCCTACGGGGCTACGAAACGTGCGAGGGGTGTGCGGGACGCGCGCGGGCACACCCACTGCGGCCTTCGGTGGAGCTCCCTATGGGACCACGAAGCGTGTGAGGGGTCACGAAACGCGTGAAGGGTGTGCCGAAATGAGTGTGCGGGACGTATGCGGGCACACCCACTGGGGCCTTCGGCGGAGCTCCCTCTGGGGCCACGAAACGTGTGAAGGGTATGCCGAAATGAGTGTGCGGGACGCATGCGGGCGGCAGCACTGGGGCCTTCGGTGGGGCCCCCTACGGGGCCACGAAACGTGCGAGGGGTGTGCCGACATGGGTGTGCGGGACGCATGCGGGCACACCCACTGCTGCCTTCGGTGGAGCTCCCTATGGGACCACGAAACGCGTGAGGGGTCACAAAACGCGTGAGGGGTGTGCCGACATGGGTATGCGGGACGCATGCGGGCACACCCACTGGGGCCTTCGGTGGAGCTCCCTCTGGGGCCACGAAGCGTGCAAAAGGTATGCCGAAATGGGTGTGCGGGACGCATGCGGGCACACCCACTGAACCCTTCGGTGGAGCCCCCATGTGTGGCCACGAAGCGCGTGAGGGGTGTGCCGAAATGGGTGTGCGGGACGCATGCGGGCGGCAGCACTGGGGCCTTCAGTGGAGCTCCCTATGGGGGCACGAAACGTGTGGGGGGCGAAACGTGTGAGGGGTGTGCCGAACTGGGTGTGCGCGACGCATGCGGGCGGCAACACTGGGGCCTTCGGCGGAACTCCTTATGGGGCAACGAAACGTGTGAGGGGTGTGCCGAATTGGGTGTGCGCGACGCATGCGGGCGGCAGCACTGGGGCCTTCGGCGGAGCCCCCTTTATGGGGCCACGAAGCGTGTGAGGGGTGTGCCGAATTGGGTGTGCGTGACGCATGCGGGCGGCAGCACTGGGGCCTTCGGCGGAGCTCCTCATGGGGCCACGAAACGTGCGAGGGGTGTGCCGAATTGGGTGTGCGTGACGCATGCGGGCGGCAGAGCTCGAGCATTCGGCGGAGCTCCCTATGGGACCACGAAACGTGTGAGGGGCGTGCCGAATTGTGTGTGCGTGACGCATGCGGGCGGCAACACTGGGGCATTCGGCGGAGCTCCTCATGGGGCCACGAAGCGTGTGAGGGGTGTGCCGAATTGGGTGTGCGTGACGCATGCGGGCGGCAGCACTGGGGCCTTCGGCGGAGCCCCCTTTATGGGGCCACAAAACGTGTGAGGGGTATGCCGAATTGGGTGTGCGCGACGCATGCGGGCGGCAGCACTGGGGCCTTCGGCGGAGCCCCCTTATGGGGCCACAAAACGTGTGAGGGGTGTGCCGAATTGGGTGTGCGTGACGCATGCGGGCGGCAGCACTGGGGCCTTCGGCGGAGTTCCCTATGGGACCACGAAACGTGTGAGGGGCGTGCCGGATTGTGTGTGTGCGTGACGCGTGCGCGCGGCAGCACTGGGGCCTTCGGCGGAGCTCCCTATGGGACAACGAAACGTGTGAGGGGTGTGCCGAATTGGGCGTGCGTGACGCATGCGGGCGGCGGCACAGGCGCCTTCGGCGGAGCTCCCTATGGGGCCACGAAGCGTGCGAAGGGCGTGCCGAAATGGAGGAGGGAGGAGGGAGGAGGGAGGAGGGGGAGGAGGGGAGGAGAGGAGAGGAGAGGAGAGGAGAGGAGAGGAGAGGAGAGGAGAGGAGAGGAGAGGAGAGGAGAGGAGAGGAGAGGAGAGGAGAGGAGAGGGAGAGGAGAGGAGAGGAGAGGAGAGGAGAGGAGAGGAGAGGAGAGGAGAACGCGGGGCACCGTCTCTTCAAAACGAGGACCCAACACCGCAGGATGGTTGGGGGGCGAATGGGGAGGCAGCCGCGCAGCCCACGAGAAGCATCACAAAGTGCGGCAGACCACGAAGCCACTGCGACATCCCCCACTCCTCCGCCTCAAGGCTGGCAGTAATTATCCCCCAAAATTCCTTCGCGCTGTGCATCTATAACCGCTTCAGGGGGCAACCTGCATCAGTGGCAATCACACGCCCATAGAGAGCTGTGCACGACGTTTCAGCTAGAGCAAGCGGCCGCGTCTTACTGGCATCCCGCAGCACTGCATCGCCCACGTCTTTGGGGCGTTGACCCTTAAGTAGAAAGGTCAGCAGCATGTTCCTCATATCCTCAGGGAAGTCGGCACTGTCTGTGTCATGTAGATACTCGTGCACCTGGTATATGATACCCGCCTCAAACCCGATTGCCTAGCAGCTGCACGGAATACCGCCGGGACCAGGCGCGGCATTGCGTTTGCCCCGAACCAGCCCACGGAAGTCACGCTCGCACAGACACCACACGATAGCGCCGCGAAACTGTCGCACAGACTGGCAGTGCCGCAGAAGCACCCCCCACCTACCCGCGCCCTCCTCCACCGGGGCAAAGCCCCCCCCCCCGCGCCGCGCCGGGCCCCCCCCCCCCCCGACTCCTCCACGGAACTGCGCGGTACCCCATCCTCGCCCAATATCCCCTGCAAGTGGGCCCGCCGGCGCACCCCCCTGTATATCTGCATTGATGGTTTGCTTGCGTTGGGCCCCCCATCGTGCCCCGCCGAGGCGGCGGCGGCCTCTCCGCGAGAGAGTTGCGCCCCCAGCACTCTGTAGCGACGCCGACGAGCACATTCGCAGAGCTTGTCATAGACGACGGAGGTCTCTCTGTCAGCGTCAAATTGCTGGCGGGGCACTGGGTGGGCGAGAAGAACCTCACGAACAACCTAAAACTTGCCTGCCCTCCAACCCCTCACCTCGCACGTAGCCCAGTTGTGCTGTTCTTCAGGTGTCTCCGCAGGCCCGTTCGCCAGTAGACGCTCGACGGGGGTCGCCCGCTCGAGCACGGCCGCCTTCGCGGCCTCAAGATGACGGGGCGGGGACCAATCAGCGGGCATCGCCTCCAGAGCCTGCTGGACAAGCTGCCGGCGCACCGTGGTCTGACAGAGGCATTCGGGAACCCCATGAGCCTGTCGGGGGACAGCGGCGGGGAGGTGAGCGGACGGTTCGAAACGTTTACGGAGATTCCACACCTTGGCCTGCAAAGTAAAATCGGACAGCAACGCGCACGGTAGATCCGCGTAGATACGATCCAACCGCGAAGCGCGTGCACCCCCATCATTCCCACACCCATGCCGAGTCGGATCCGCCTGGTAAAGCTCCGCCCACCTCCCAAATTTAGCCTCGAAAAATTGCGTGCGCCACCTGCCCCCGGCCGCCCAGCCCATCCCATCATCTGCGCGCCCCCCCCCCCCCCCCCCCCGCCCCCTCCAAGACAGTGCCCCCATCGCCCCCCAATCAGATTGAAGCGCTGCATCGATTCAGGCAGCGCGATGCAGATACGCGTCAGCACTTGGCGGCATAGTGGCCGCCCATGACACGTGTTCGGCACGTGGGCTTTGACGGCGCAGGGGCACCCCCCCTGCCGACGCACTCAGTGCGAATAATTCGACCATCACACAACGGATGATGAGAGATGCGCGTGGAACATGAGGCCAACATGCTACTGATAACCGCGCTTATCCCAACCGCAGCAGCCCTCGCACACATCGTGGCACCGACGTCGCCCCCCCGCAGCAACTGTCCGAGGCCCTCCGCACCCCCTCTCACGCCCGCGAGGCCCCTGCGTGCGCCCGATGTCGCATCTATCACATAGCCACAAGAATGCCCTGCACCTTTGTCCAGCAAGGCCCCCCCCCCCCCCCCCCCCCCCCCGCACTGCGCAGAAACGAAAAGAGCGCGAGCACCCCATGCCACCATCGAGAAAGAGCGGGCGGGAGGAACAAAGAAATCCGCAATCACACTGCTGTCTTCCGCGCCGGGGCTGCCCGAAGAACCCTCGGAGGGAGGGGGGGGGGGGGGGGGGGGGCGCAAGACTGCGCGTCGCACTCATACTCTTGCACGCGGTCGGCACAGCTGCTGGACTGCTCACATGGGCCGGCGCACCGCAATGTCGGCGCCCAGCGGCGCAGCCGCCTCTGCCCCGATGCCAAACTCATCGAAGGAGGTCTGCTGCAAATCTAGATTGACATCGCCACTGCCTTCAAGCACAGCGAGGCGAGCCACGCGCCCTGGGTTTTCTGCACTGCGAAGCACGCGCGCGTCACCTCCAAGCCCGTTGGACCCCGCTGGGAAGCGACCCAGAAGAAGCGCGTCTAGCTTCTGGCGGACCTTCTCCATCGCAAGGAACAATCTGCGACCGTTGACGCCCCAGTCGCGGAGCACTTTGAGGGAGAACAATTCACCGTTGCCCTCCGGGCCACGGTACGTCATGTTCTCGACCCCCAGGAAGTCCGATATGAAATCCGACGCCTCCACCGCCGAGCCGAACTCGTATATGGCCTTGCGGTTCATGTCGAACGCCTTGATTACCGCCCGCTGCTGCTGGTCCGTCGGGGCGCACTTGTCCCTCGCAATTCCCGCGGCCTCCCGTAGCGCAGCCCCTATGAGAGGGCGATCAAATCCCAATGGAACGAGACGAGCTACACCTCCTCGAGCATCCGCACTCGTCGAGGCTTTTTTTTTTTTTTTTTTTTTTTTTTTTTTTTTTTTTTTTTTTTTTTTTTTTTTTTTTTTTTTTTTTTTTTTTTTTTTTTTTCCATTTCAACCCCTGAATGCTTCTTGCCACTGGTGGGGCGTACCCTTGGCAAGGCTGGGGAGGCGAGAGGGATGCGTTGAAGCCTCCACGCCACCCCCCTGACACCAGGCGTTGCAGGCAGCAGGGAAAGCCAGGGGGCGGCAGACGGGGGATGTGCTACACCCCCCCGCACCCTCAAGGCACGCCTCGAGCGGCCCCTCACCAGCTGAACACGGTGAGGAACCGCGAGGAGAGATTAAGGGCTGATCCCCTAATTCAGGCGGCAGGAAAGAGAGCGCTCGCGCAGCCGCCGCAGCTGCACGAGCGTTAAGGGCTGATCCCCTAATTAGGGCAGACGAGGACTCCGATGGCTGGGAAGCAAACTGCAGTCTAATCCGAGTCCGACGAAGCACGATGGCTGCGAGGGAGCACGACGGGAGGGATCGGAGCTTCCGCCCTCAGAGCCTGAGACACACTGTGGAGAGTGGCGGCTTCGGCCGTTTCCGCCAACGAAATACCTACAGCGCGCCTGCGCTCGTCTTCTTCCGAGTCCGAGTACGAGCTAGCGCGCTTTCGAGCAGGCCTCAAGGAGAGAGGAGGAGGGAGGTCACCGAAGCGGAGGGGGCAATCTACGGACAGGCCTGCCCGATTTGGATGCTTACCCTTGGCAATCGACCTCCAGGCCCTGAGACCAGCTTTGGTGGGACGACCAACACACAAGTATTTAAGTCCTTTCATCCGTCCGTGCGACGTGTAGGACTTACAGGAAATGCAAATGACAAGTTCAGCCCCGTCACTGCAAGCGAAACTAAGGCACTGGTGTTTGTTGTGGGATAATTCAGAAACGAGCTCCCTTTCACCAGGGCACCTACTGGGAGGAGGTCTCTGGGGCCACTGACACCGATGCACTTTGAGGCAATGCGTGCAACGCCAGAATCTGCCGATGTGGACCCAACAGTGAGGATCGACACAATTCTTGTCAGGGGGAACAGGTTTGATGTATTCGACATTGCCAAAATCTCGCAAGGGCGAAAAATGGGGCAGAAGGTGCATGGCAAGAATGCAGAACGCTCGAGCATACTCCACATGCTTCGCAAGCGTTTCTTCACCTTCATCGTCGACCTTGTGTCTAGAGAGAGCGTGTTTGGCAGCCGAATCGGCCTGGTCGTTACCACGTCTCCAAAACAACAGCTCCTCAGAAGCCGACTCGTCGGTCAAGGACTGGTGGGCTTTGACGTGCGAGATCCTAGTACAAAGATTAAAGCTGCCAGAGGACCTGGCTTGCTGGATATGGCCAGCATACATTCTCTTGTCAGCTAATTGAGCGAGCCTATCCAGGGAATGTGACTTAACTACGTTCTCGCAGTCGGAAATTAAATGAAACTCTTGGTTACAAATTTGAAAAGCGGCTAAATACCCACAAAATTCGCCAGCCTGGGGAGTCTGGGGCGGGACGCGCGAGAGGAAAGACCCGACCTCGTGGAGCCTGGGCTGAGCAGACAGCAACGACTCGATGGAGGTCCACTACTACTGCAACCACTACTCTGGACCGGCGCTGCTGAAGCGCCGAACCAAAGCCAAAGACAAACGCGATCAGGGCCTGCGCCCGTGCTGGAGGAGCCTCGCCCGCCATGGCAAAATGCGTGGGGCGGGACGTGAAACACTGTGTGCGAGGCGCGACGAAGCCATAGATCTCACGCGGGGCCTGCCCCCTCCAAGCCGCAGCCGCCTGAGCTACCCCGTCGGCTGCGAACAAGCTCAAACCGCCAGGGCGAACAGTTTGAACTTGAGCCACACTGGCTGCGGAAGGGGGATCAACAACAATTATTCTTCGGAAATGCAAACTCAACCACAACATGCCCTACCAACAACAACAACAGCAACAACAATAACAGCAACAACCACAACCTCAGCAACAACAACAGCATAAACAACAACACCAGCAACAAACAACAATCCGCAACAACAAGAAACACATCAGCAGCAACAACAATAGCACCAACACCACCAACAACAACAGTAACACAACAACAACAATGACAACATCAACAACAACAGCAACAATCACAACAAGGACATCAACAACAACGACAACAACAACAGCTGCAACAACGAAAA